TTTTTCATCTTTTAATTGATTTTATATTGACACTGAAATGATGATTTTACCGTTTTAATGCAAGTGAAAACGAGCAGTGTAGGTCTGCTTACGAAACAGGTTAACCCTAGCAGTAAAACAATAGTGTAAAAGAATGTTTTTATAATCCTGTATCCATATTGAATAATTTTAAAAATGATAAAGTTCTTCATACTTTCTTTTTCAATTTTTTATTGCAAAATCTACTTGTTTTATCCAAACTTCTAATGAAATGTTCTTTATGTTATAGAAATATAAAGATGCTAAGAAATTATTTTGATTTCAACAGCTTATTTGTTTTCAATTTGTCATAAGGTTTATGCAGAGGTTGAGTTCGTTAAAATGATTTTGAAACCTCACCAGTTCTTTATAGCCTATATCGCTACATCTGGTCTCGCTCTATCTGACGACCGTGCATCTTGAGAACAGCCCAGCAGCGTAGTTTCCATTCCATACGGATCTGTGGTAAGGCTGTCATTGTCAAAGCACCTCGTCCTGCAGCTTTCCATAACCCATCTAGTGTTCGAGAACAGCAGTTTTCTAGCGTCTCTTTCAACAGTCCGATCGAACACAAAACCATAGGTGACTTTAGCGGTATGTTTTTGTAAGAAATAGCATAAATACCTGTTTCATTCTCCAGCTACTTGAGGTATGCGACGGTTGAACGGATATGTCGTGAAAGCAATTTGTGTACACGTAACTTGTGTCACTTTTCCAGGAGGAGATCCCTTCTTGATTATCTTGCGCCCGGGCGTTTTTTTTGGCATTGATATTTGTGTTTGCGGATTCTTACCTGTTACCAAACGTCGCACCTTGCTTACCACAAATGGGGTATAACTTGTTGCAGGTTTCTTTTTTGGCGTTCTTGTTTCCCCAGGTTGATACGTTGTCCAATTCCATTTCGTACAAGAAATATCCCGATCTCAACTCACCTTTATGATCTGAGTGTATTAATATTTTCTTTGGGAAAGGATTATTACATTATCCATCCCCAAAGCGATCAATATTCGGTGGCATCACACTACCTACATTACGGCAATGTCATAATGTATACCTGATACAATCCGTTCCAACACGGCTTTATATAGGCTTTGGTTGTACGTGGCTTGCTAACTAACTTGCATACAAAATTATTTTAATGTGAAACATACAATCCTGTACTTTCCTTCATTTTGTGTTGTTTTATAACTAAAACATGTCGACTAAGGGACATTACGTTACAGTTCTTCTTGTTTTAAATAAAATATATAAAGAAAGTATAACTTTTTTTTTCTTTCCATTATAGTTTATATCACTTGTGTGAAATTTCACTACGTTCGTGCACATGTGTTATGGGTCTGACAGTTACTTAACGAGGTGCATGTTAAGCCAATGACAGAGAAAGTGGTAATGCGTAGTGAGAGAATAACTGCATACAGTGATTACTATTCAGAAAACGGTGTATGTTGTACGTAATATTTAAAAGGTTGACATAAATAAATGTGTATAACAAAGTTATTCTGGGATTTTTCTGTTGTTGGCGTTGCGGTTCTTTATAATTACGCTCATTGGAACCTTTAGCTATATGACAACTTTATAATTACGCTCATTGGAACCTTTATCTATATGACAACTTTATAATTACGCTCATTGGAACCTTTATCTATATGACAACTTTATAATTACGTTCATTGGAACCTTTAGCTATATGACAACTTTATAATTACGTTCATTGGAACCTTTAGCTATATGACAACTTTATAATTACGTTCATTGGAACCTTTAGCTATATGACAACTTTATAATTACGCTCATTGGAACCTTTAGCTATATGACAACTTTATAATTACGATCCACCACATAAAATAAAACCTATCTTGGAATCTGTTGTCGTTTGTACTTGAGATTCGGGTGAGCTGTTTGGGTTTGGATCTTCAAATATTATAGGTTAAAATTTTAAGCATTTTTATAAAGATTGCAGGATTTTTTGGGGTTTGTTTTGAACTTCACGCAACGCGAGGTCTGTCTGTGCTAGCCGTCCCTAATTTAGCAGTGACAGACTGGAGAGAAGGCAGCCAAGTCAAACACCACCCACCGACAACTCTCGGGCTACTCTTTTATCAACCAATAGTGCGATTGATTATAATTCTCTCACCCCCACGGCTGAAAAAGAGAACATGTTCAGTGACGGGGATTCGAACCTGCGACCTTTAGTTTGCGAGTCTAGCGTCTTAATCATCAGGCTATGCCAGGCCACATTGTAGGCAGGCATTATAGAGAGAAAGTGAGTGAGTAACTGAAATGAGATTGCTTGGAAATAGAGAAACTAAAATTAATAAGATGAATTGTCGCTATTGGATAATATAGAAGAAGTTGTACAGAATGAGCTGGAATCATTGGAAATAATAGCAAAAATTAAATTACGTACTATAAAGAGTGAACTATGTTTATTAAGTAATCGAAAAGAGACGAAAACTAACATTTTAAAAACACAACAATGTGTATAGCATAGTGTTTCAAGAGAATTCAACAAGGTTTATCAAGGACAAACAAAACAGAATTTAAAGTTGAGATTAATTGAATATATATATATATCTGACTGTAAAACGCGGGAGACTGAAACATCCGCAACTGCAAAACTCGTGTTCGATATGGACCATAAAATACTTTGTGATAAATCTAAAATTATTGCTCAGTTCTAGGGTTATAATGAAAAAAATATTCGAAAGAGAAAAAGTCCGGGTTAAATTCCATTTTTGTAAAAACATTTTCTGAAGCATGATAATTTATGCGTATTTCGTTTGTTTTGTTTTGTTTGTTTGTTTGGAATTAAGCACAAAGCTACACAATGGGCTAGTGTTTCTAGTGTTGCAAGTCCGCAGACACACCGCTGTGCTACTGGGAGGCTTATGCGTGTTTCAAAGATGAGGTAGATTATAACAGAATTAATATAAATACCAATACCAATGATAAAATGTAAAGTTTTATATCACCGAAGAAGATCAACTGGGCCATTCGAAACATGTAGGACATTAAATCCTAAATTTTAAAATTGTATTTATATTACATGATGTTATTTCAAGTATTTTCTGTGAGTTACACTAATCAGGGATGAAAATTGTGTGAAAAATACGTGGTGTATTAAATATAACAATTAAAAATCACTGACTAGAACATCTGGAAAAACTAAAAGAGCAGAAAACATGAACTAAAATAGCAATAGAAACTGAATCTTTCTGTATGTAGTTTCGCTCTCTTCTACACCAAAAGTAGGAGCATGTTCCAAGATCATTATGAATACCCACAATCCTTTAAAAGAGCAATTCCACAATATTGATGTCATATAAATTGGTTAATACACATACATTGAAAAAAACCTGTTAGGAGAAAAGTACTTGCAACGTTGTTTTCAAATTTCAACGGTCCTAGCGTACAGAAACTTTATTTTGTGTAAGTCTTTTCATGAGTTATGGTTTGTAAGTTACAAAAAAAAAGTAGCACAAGTGATATTTTCATAATGTACATTATGATTATCTTGGAATGAGACATAAATATTTTACTATTTTGTTTGTAAGTTAAAAAAACAAGTAGCACAAGTGATATTTTCCTAATGTACATTATGATTATCTTGGAATGAGACGTAAATATTTTACTATTTTGTTTGTAAGTTGCAAATAAAAAGTAGCAAATGTGATATTTTCCTAATGTACATTATGATTATCTTGGGATAAGACGTAAATATTTTACTATTTTGTTTTGTAAGTTTATGTGTCATAAGGTTGTTTGTTGCTTACTAAAATGTAGAAACCAAGCTAGAGATCAGGTAAAAAACAACTGACCTGATACGTAATATGTTTCCTAGCTTGTTAAATGCGATCAAATTACGAAAAACAAAAAACGTGTGCTACGAATGAACGATAAGGTTTTCACGAAGTAATTTTATAGAACTTAAACCACCGCAAGAGGAACATATGGTGTCAAACAAGTGTGAATCCTATCAATGCACCTGGAGATTATTGATATCAGGTGATGTTTTAACCTTAAAACGGTATTTGTATGTATAATTCAATGTGGCCAGTCAACGTATTATATATAGTATAAGATTCTTAAACATGGTTGAGTAAGTTTATTGATGTTTTAACCTTAAAACGTTATTGGTATGTATAATTCAATGTGGCCAGTCAACGTATTATATATAGTATAAGATTCTTAAACATGGTTGAGTACGTTTATTGATGTTTTAACCTTAAAACGGTATTGGTATGTATAATTCAATGTGGCCAGTCAACGTATTATATATAGTATAAGATTCTTAAACATGATTGAGTACGTTTATTGTTTCTTCTTGGCTTTATATTCGATCTTATAATGTATTTCTCCCCAGTGGCACAGCGGTAAGTCTGCGGACTATTATGCTAGAAACCGGGTTTCGATACCCGTGGTGAAAACAGCACAATTAGCCCATTGTGTAGTACAAACAAACAAACTATAATGTATCATACGCGAAATTCCACCATAATACTTATATGCGTGTAAACCTGCATATTGTTAGCTAAAAGAAGTCGCAAAATGAGGTAATCAAGTGATATTTTCCAAACGTGAATAAAATTACAGCGGCTCCGTTAAAAAGTATATGTACATCAGTAAGAACCATATACAATTGGATTTTAACTTTTAAGATTAAATGCAGATCCTATTGTTTGTATATACGTTCATCATAACAAAGAGCCGTTAAAAAGTATATGTACATCAGTAAGAACCATATACAATTTGATTTTGACTTTTAAGATTACATGCAGATCCTACTGTTTGTATATACGTTCATCATAACAAAGAGCATTACGTCCAAACTAACCTAATTGATTGAAGTTGAAATTTATAAATCAGTACTGTTTTTAGTTTAAGGTTGTCGTAACATAAAATTATTTAGAACAAGACGTATGAAATTATTTTCAGTATTCAGCTTTTAGAACTTAAATGACAAAAAATATTGAAACACTAACCTAACTTTGTCAAGTGATATCGGACGTCCAGAAGGAAGGCAGGGAAAAATTTCATAAGAAAGAACTGGGGTCAAAAGCTCTAGAGACAGACAGGCAGTACAGTCTGTTAAGGCATGGTCAAGCTAGTTACTTTGTACATAACTTGTAAAGAGGATAAGGTAAAAAAATCTGAAAATTAAGAGATGACGACACAACAAAATATTGGCTGAATATCACGTTTCTGTATGGCAGAGACAAGAATGACCTATGACCTCAAAAGGTCAATATCTAAGACCGGGTTAACAGTGATAAATCTTTAGCGGTCAACGTAAAAGCGGAAGTTTCTGCATATGAATCTCACCTGTTTATCTCTTTTAAAATAAATGCCAGGAAATCTAGCTTCTTAGAGTCGCACATTACTTACTAAAGAAAGATCACTCGTCATAATCGAGTTAGCTATTGAAAAGCGAAGCCGGGCTAGCCGTAAGAAAAACTCAAGTGCGTACGCCATCATCGATACCTCATACAAACCGCGACTGACTGAGGAGAAGCGTTAGCGGTGTCTTGGACGAAATATATGTTTCTACTCCTGCGCACTTGATTTTGGACTTTCTTTCCTACTTACGCAATCGAGATGCAAGGCTTTGAGAGCAGCACGCACAAAATAACCCCACGAGATTTGGTGGCACGTAAGCTTTAGTGACCCATGGGATTTTCTAGAAAGTCAAGTACTTACTCTTACATGAATAGTATTCCATCATTCGAGAGTTGTAGCGGTAGACGGTTGTAAGATCCATGGTCGAGGGTTCGGGGCGGGCCAGACTAAGCCTTGCCACCCTAGGCACGAAAACTGTTGGAGGAAGGATGGTGAGGCCGTCTGGAAAGATGTAGTGAGCCGTACGACCACAGTTTTATTACTAAGGGTTGAACGCTTACTTACGAAGAAACGGTCAAAGCATGGTGTTATGAGTTATAACTATGAGGTGAATTTTGGAGAAATTCAATTGTCGACCATGCCATAAGTTTTAGTCACTATTTCTCTCAGACATACGGGCCGTCATAATTGAACCTAACTAATGGAATCGAACCAATCCGAGTACTCGCTTAGGCATAAACTTTGAAAAAGTCAATCGTGTAGTTATTCGGTCATGAAGGTATCATTTCTCGCTGTTGATTGTAAGATCGCAATCATGTGACTCATGACGCCAGTGCCAAGCGCAAATACGTTGTGCTTACTCAAGGGGATGCGAACAATTGCTTATCTCCCGACTCATTGGTTCAACATGATGAAGTAAATAGTATTTCCCGCCTTCTGCAGTAGGCAACTGATAAATAATAAATAATTTCTTCACCGAAAAAAAATAAAAAATAAATGAAAATAAAAACTTGAATTTCTCATCGTGTTCTACTTACTAGCTCCGAGTCATATATGATCAACGAAGTGTGACGAAACTTCGAGGATTTTCAGAATTTAGAGTAACAAGTCACTTTTTAAAAATGTTCTCTTATTGGTCTTGGTATTTTTTGAATTGCTACAGTGCTCGTGCTATAAATCAGAACTATGGTCATTCTCATCTTATCACAGCACAGATTAGTGGACTAAAGACAGTATAATGAGAAGACTGTGACAACCATTCACATTGCGACTGACGGAGCGCATAAGTCGTCGAAATAAAGCACTGCCCGTTTATCGATGTTGAAAAACAACGTTTAATTGATAGTATGAAACAGTATGGAAATAAAAACGATAATATGACAACTTGTGTGTATTTTTCTGCTAAAAATCTGTTTAAATTGCTTAGGCTTAATTCTCCCTGAATTTTTCAGACAATGTTATGAAAGTTCGATTACTTCAACAGTGTGACAACGATCTGAAAGTTCGATTACTTCAACATTGTGACAACGCTATGAAAGTTCGATTACTTCAACAGTGTGACAACCATCTGAAAGCTCGATTATTTTAAAAATATTCTATCATACAAGATATTATGTTTACCTTCGTATGAAAATTTTACGAAAGATAAGATAAATGTCTTAGGGCTTGAATATTTTCGTAGGAGTGTATGATGAAATTGTCCTTTCATGAAAAGAGTAAATTTTGGCGTAAAGGCTTTAGCTGCAGATCTTCTAAGCAACGAGGTTGCGAGTGTGTGATCTGAGACGTTAAACTGGAGTTATAATTTCAAAAGAATTAGTTACCACATTCGGATATAATTAACACTAATTTCTTGAATCCCTTTTTTTTATTGTAAGGTGATTAAGTGATCTCGTTAAAGATTTAGTTATGAAGGATGTGCTTATTTTTTCAAGATGGTTTGACTTAGATCAAGAAAAGATGGTACTTGTAATTGCAAGAAATTTCGAATTCACACAAAATTAAAATATACAGTTTTTCCAGTACTTGCTACACATCGTAAAATACATGACTGGAATTGAAGTAAAATGTGTATATATATATACACAACATTATTTTGTTTAAGGTTGTTTTTTGCATTATCATGTGAAAAGCGTTTGTATCGTTGCCCTATATATATGTGTGTGTATATGATAGAAATTATGATATAAAAGTAATAAACAAAAACAATGGAAAGTGGACAAACGATCTTGTTTAAAGAATAATTTGACAAATTGGTCAGAAAATCCAGCATAATGAACACAGTTATATAAAAAAATTAGGTTAACAGGTGTTGTAAAGTCACAAATAGTATTCCTTGGAAAAATAGTTTGCTTCTTGTTTTTTTTTTTTTTTATCCACGATCTATGTTTTTGTTATGACGATCCAACTACTGCCAGACAACTGACACTTCATCACGTGCTTCAACCCGCTGAACATTACATATTAACGGTGCTAACGAAAATACGTAACAGCACCCACACCCAGAGCTGTTGACTTAGACCGTGCAAGCATAAGCAGAACTTGCGGTTTGACCACGCACGTCATGCGGCTCACAGCTGGTAGTATTATACGGTTCAACGGCTTGTGCATAGCCAGCGTCCCTGAGCTTTAATTAACCAATACAGCAGGATTAATATCGGGCTTCTTAATTTCAGATATGTCTTCAATTATCTTTCTTGATTTTTTTAGACACTATTTAAATATTATTGTTTACGCTTTTAATTGTGTTATGTGAGCTTGAACAGCCAAACTATGCTGTTAAAAAATACATAACGTTCTATATTTTAAGTATTGTTATCCCTTTTATTGTAACGCTGTTTTGTTCATTATGAGTAGATATGGTGAATTAAATATCAATTTAAATTGTATCAAATTCTATTTTATACTTTTTATCACATACACACGCAGAACTGTGTGTAAATGATCAGTGACATCGTTTTCAATATTTTATGGCAATTTTCAAAGATATCTTCAGTATCTAGAAATTGAATTTTGTAACAATGAATATTAACAAGAAAAATTAAGTGGCGTAAACATATTATAAAAACTTAATCAAAGACTACTAACGTTAGAAATTGCATAGACGAAGGAGTATACATTATATTAAAGTGATTAAGAATATGCTAATAAGGAAGTCAGTTGAAAACTACAGTTAACATAAATACGCGGTAAAACGGCATGTATCAGAACGAATCTTTGACATTTTTTTTTTTTGAGTTACGCAAATAGAATGATGCCACAACAATTGATCACTTCTGGGAAGGGTATGTAACAGCCCTTTTCAATACAAAATATTTATAAAGCCAGACCATAAAGACCTATTCAGATTTAGCCTTTTTTAGACTGAGGCATTCCTTGTATTTAACAGCACTGGAAAATAAAGGAAGATGTATCAACTTGAGGCAGGAGGACCATCCAAAAAAAAGAGATCCACAACAAGTTGTACCTCAGCCGCAGTAAGTTTAGTGCAGCGTCTTATAACAGGTGAAAATCCACATTTCACAAAAGCCAGTGGAAAAAGCTGTTCACGTGCTCCAGGTAACAGTATGCAACATAATCAAGAAGGATCTCCATATGGAAAAGTGACATAAGTCATGTGTACGCAGGTTTCTTCCACGATATATCCATTCAAACGTCGCAGCTGGAGAATGAAACGAATATTTATACTATTCCTTACGAAGAAAGGAATATCCTATGAATGTCGGACTGTTGAAACGGGAGTTGGAAAACCGTCTTCGTCGTATACTAGATGAATTATGGAAATTGTGCAGGAAGGAGGGGTGTGCTTTGGACACGACAGCCTTACGGCGGAACCAATGGAAACTATTGCAAAAGTTCGATTTTCAAGATGCACGGTTGTCAGACAGAGCTTGTCCGGCCGTAGCAACATGGATTGTAATGGCGTAGTGAGGCTCCAAAGTCATTTTAGTATAACGTACTCAACCTCTGTATACGTTAATAGGTTCGCTAATGCTATATAGTTGTATAATTGAATTTTAATATGTTTACATATGAGTTCACATTGTGTTCTCGTTTTCTATTCGAAATCATGTTCATCACCATGAACGAGTTCAGAAGTTGAACAAGTTTCGTTGACTTCTCGTGTCATGACAAGCCTAATTATAGAAAATTAAAGACAGTTTTGTGGTCTCCGGCAAAGACAAGCAGTTTGTAGATAATAATACAGTCTTGTTCTATTTATTCAAGTCTAGGTGCAACAATATGTATTCATGTATTTTATTTTAAAAAATGCTTAGAATGCCTTAGCGTGCAGGCTTGAAAATTCGTTGTAATAATGTATCTTTTAGATAACATTCTTTTAATTAATTTCCTCTTTCGTCTCTCATACAAATTATCAGGTCTCAACAAAATGAACTCTTTCTTATCCAAACAAAGCAGCAAGCAGAATATATATATATATATATATATACTATTTAATCAATACATTGTTGATTTAAGAATAATAGTTAAGCAAACGAATAACATAGTTAAGTATGGGTGCCTGCCTGTAGTTTCGGTATTCAGTTTGCACGAACTTATTGTTTAAATACACGCTACTGTAATTATAACAAGCACATGCTGTGACATCATTTCTGATGTAATGTCGGAAGGTTGTACATAATATCTCCATCAACATGTGACAAAGAAGAGCGTATATATCTATATATATACACCAATTC